TTTTTTTTTGTTTTTAAAAAGTATTCTTGACTAAATAAAATCTTACATTTTTCACTTCAAACCCATCTTGAGTGTGAGCAGATGGGCAGAAGCATCAGCTCGGGTGGAACAGGCACAAGCAAACCCTCATCTCACAGTGTGGGAGTTTCCCCAGTCGGGCTCTGCACAGAGGCCCTTGAGCTCTGCAGCTTGTGCCCACTGCTGCACTGTGGCCATTGTTTTCCACCAGATGTGAAATGGTGATGAAATGCTCTGTTTCTGTTAAAGCATAGTTTATCCCAGCTAATCTCCAAGCAAAGTCAACCTGCTGTTGTGCTGGGCTGTGAGAAGTTGGATTGCTGAGTATCTCAAACTGCAAAATTAGTTAATGGTCTAAAACTAGAATAGGGCAGTTTTCTATTAGATGTTCAAACATCCTCACAGCTTCTTTTCTGCTRTGCCTTTTCACTTGGAGGAGCTGTCCTTGAAATCCTGTAGACTCTTTCCATAATTATCTTTAGATTTGGTGCCTTAGTGTCTAGTTAGGTGGATTCCTTTTTTTCATGGCTATGATGCCATCCCAAGAATTGTGAAGGAACCAGTAACATGTTTTGGTTGCAGGAGGAGCTTGGAATATGTAGCTTTTCCAACCAGGAGCTGGAGGCAGGAGGAAAAGGGCTGTGAATGGTCAAGTGTGAAACATCATGTACTGCCCTTGCTAGTCCTCTGAGACTTTTTAATTTATTTTTTTAATACAAAATGAATAACTATGCGTATTAAAAAATGGTCAACCTTGGCCTCAGATGTTACTGTACTTGCAAAATGTCTTGTTTTCTCACAGTAATGGTGCTTTTGTTGCAGATTGACGTCCTCAAGGCAGACGTGGAGAGCGCTGAGTGGAAGATTTTGGAAAACCTGATCCTGGAAGATGTTGTTGAGCAGATAGGACAGCTGGTGTTYGAGGTGCACGTCCACTGGCCTGGGTTTGAGGTCAGTGGCAACGACAGCACCGTGGTGCGGTACTGGTACAGTCTGCTCCGAGAGCTGGAGCTGAAGGACTTCAGGCTTTTCCATACCTACAAAGACTTATCAAAACCACAGMTGTTTCTGAAAAAGGAAGCCTTCAACGCCAGTAGCTGTTACACACTRAGCTGGGTAAATACAAGATGGAAATAGCAGAAAGGAGTTTATGATGTGTGACTGYGAGCCATCTGGCCCCGTAGCGTTACTGAAGAGGATTTTGGCGTCACTGGCTAAAGTTGCTAAATATGCACGCAGTGACTGCTAACAAAATGGACTGGCTTTTATATTTATGTGCTGTCAAAAGAACTGCCACTGGGAGAAGATAAATGGTACAGATTTGTAGAGCAATATATTAGCCAGTGGGTGCATCGTCCCAGAGTTCAGAGGTTTCTGTAAAGGTTTKCCTGGGGGAGCTGAGAGCACAGCTTTTCCAGGCTGCCTCATGCCAGCAAGGAGGGCATCCCTCTGGGGCTGCCCTGGGAAGCTCTGCTGGCTGAGCTGTGCCAGCCCTTGGGCAGGAGACTGTTCCTGAGAAGGTGCTTTTCTAAGGAAGTGTCAAGTGTTACTTCTCTGTAAAGCAATCATCTTTGATTTGCACCTTCTTTACTTTGGCCTTGTTTCCTATGGAACAAATTTTAGGCAAGAACAGTATGTTCTTGAACCCACTGGTGAATTTCGGCTGAATTTGGCAGAAACAGAARTCATCACCAAACCAAATTCCTACCTGTTTCTTTGAGCAGCTTCTGAGTGCTCTGGCTTTGGCTCTATAAGCTAGTCTGTTTGCAGAAAGTTAGTTCAACACTTCTGACACAGGAGATGGTGGGACAGAGACACTGAGCTGCTGGATAAACTGCTGCCAGTGCTCCCCCTCCTCACCCTCAGAGCCTTCAGCCACAGAAGRCAGGGCTTCCCTAGCTCATCTGCTCAAAAACCAGCTTGATTTATTCTTGCAGTGGCTTCAGTGAGTGGCTTTTCATCTAGTGAGATACACGTAAGAGATAAAAGTGAAACCTGGTGGTTTTTATTTGTTTTGGGGTTTAGTTGAACATTTCCTGGTGCCTTTTCCAGCACTGCGCCTTGATGCCTGTCACCTTCTCACCACCTCACCTGTCCCTGGCACAGGGAGGGCAGACCCTGGGTCTGCACTGATGCTGGCAGAGCTGGTGACCTGGACTGCAGCTGTGCTGGGGCTCTGTGGGCTGCAATGTGCATTTCTGTAGTGCACCCCTGGGAGCCTTTGACATTCCCCAAAGAGCTAAGGAATGCGGGGAGCTAAAAATATGTATAGCAGGTTGGGTTTTTTCTTATCTTTAGAAGAATTTTGACATTAAACTTTGCATTAAAATCCAAGATGTCACCAATTGCGTGTCTTTGATCTGCAGACCTTTTAACTGCCTTTGGTTTCTGACTTCTGCAGTCTYCAGCTTCCTCAAGGGARGCAGTGGAGGGGGAGATGCTGACCAGTGACAGGACATGAAAAATGGAATGAAACTGAGTCAGGGGAAGTTCAGATGGGACATTAGGATAAGATTCTTTACCCAGAAGGAGGTCTGTCACTGGAACAGGCTTCTCAGGTAAGTGRTCATGGCACAAGCCTRTCAGAGTTCAAGGAGTCTCTGGAGGACTCTCTTASTMATTKGGTTTARTTTTAGGTAGWCCTGTGAGGGGCAGTCATTTGAGGAGCTCCATGATCCTTATTGGGCCCCTTCCAATTTGAGATATCCCATGATCCTATAAAAGCAGCTCCTCTTTCTGCTCCTTCAAATCCCATGTGGAACAGGGCTTTGCAGTCACCCAGAGCACTGTGAGTGCTCACCAGGTTCCCAGCTCTGCATCAAAATCAAGATCACCTGATGCARATGTGTGGAATTCCCCATGTCCAAGTTGTCTGGCAGAGCACTTTCCTCAGGCCTGAGCTACCCACTGCCATCCCTGAGCCAGGTAATGCACAAACCAAGAGACCCACAACCTCTGGAAAATGAGTAAGAAACGCCTTCTCTGTGACAGCCAGCCTTGCTGCAACCCTCATACACTAAGTACTGAAGTTGTTTAAYGATGCAGAGCCATGAGGAGATTCATCAAAATGCAAGAGGCTGCCAGGCTTTCCTAAACTAATATCTGGCGTGTTGGAATGGCCATGCTTGCTGTGCCGCAGAATGGCTCTGCTCCCATTTTTCAAATAATGGGGTGGCAAAAGTCCAGCTGCGAATCCTGACTTATTAATAAAGCATAAAAATATGGGCTCTAGCACTGTACAGGCTTTTCCTCCTAACTAGTCTTAAGAGTAAGTAGCCCAGTAGCTTTTTATCATTTAAGAAACCAATAGATAGAGGTTAAAAAAATAAATTACGTGACCTCTCTCAGATGTTAAAATTCAAAATGGGTGCACATCTTTCATCATTTATTTCCCTAAAGTAAAAATGGTGATATGCAAATTACAGAAGTGAAGTAGAGGTCCATCCTGGTTCTTCTTTGGTTAGTAAGGGAATTTAATAAACCCTCAGCTAATCTCTTGCTTGGGCTTGCCAGGTAGTGTCAGGAACACTTCAGGCTACAGCAAATACATCTTCGGCAAAAAAAGATTCCAATAACTATGGTAATTTTAAAGAAAACCTTATCTCAAATACAGGGTAGATAAAAGCCATTTATCATTCTGGAGGCAGTTATGTGATATTATAGGAGAAAATGAACRGTGCTTATTTAATGCACTCTCTGTGCCTTTCTACTTCACAACTCCRAGCAGAGTTACAGCCTTCCTTTCTGAGGTCTTGCTTTCATGCCCTTACCCCTTCTCTTTTATTGATCTCTTTTACCTAAAGGACAGACCTTTAAATGAATTCAGTTCCTGTCTCCTAATGACTGAGCTGCCAGCTACGTGCCCAGGGACCCARGGCAGTGCTGGCTGAGTGTGCTGCAGTGGACAGGCTGGTGCTGAGGGATGCTGTGTGGGGTCTGTGTCTACCCACTGCCATACCCATGCACAGCTACCCTTGACCTGCTCACAGGTCATCTCCCTGCATTAACCACAGGCCAGAGGTGCAGTCCACAACTCTTCCCAGATCACATCTGCATGGAAATCACCACAGTTTCCCAATTCTTCAAGGGTTAGGTACAGAGAGCACCATTAAAACCAGTGTGGACAGAGCATTCTGCCACTGTAGCTGCAGCCTGGAGACCGGTACCTGCCTGGCTGTGGAGGAGAGTCAGACTCAGCCCCCGATCTGCTGAGCATCACCACTGTAGGTATTTCCCAACTCTGCTGTCCCCATACTCCTGGCCTGCTGTCCCCAGGTGCATTGGKCATTTCCCCACACTCCCTGCAGGCACATGCATCAGCTCCCCAGAGCACCCAGCCCCTTGCTGCCAGCCCAGAAGATTCCTGCTCTCACCAGGTCATTCCTGGTGGCCACAGTCAGTGCCAACCCCACCTAACAAAGACACACCTAACAGTGACAGGTCTTGCTCCTGATGGTGTGCAGACATTACTCCATCAGTTGGGCAACTCKACCAGGAGATGTTTCAGCTTGGTCTAAAGTGGATCTTGCAGAGATGACCCAGGGGTAGGGGTAATTCTGCTTGCACAAATCCTTTTGTGGCAGTGAGGACATTTCTCTTGCAGATGGGCTCACAGTGATTTACAAATCACACACATTAGTGAATCAGAATTTACAGGTGCTGCCCATGACCTGCTGATGATGAAGAGCACTAACAGATGTGAATCCTCTCAAACTATCACAGCTGATATTGCAACATGGTGAGCTTTCCATGGTGAGCCCACAGCAGCACAGAGAGGAATTTGTTAGAACACTAACACGCTCCTCCAGGAAAACTGGGCCCTTCCTGAATGCCACATTGGCTTCCTTGGAGGCTCCAAAATTTGCCCAAAKAGAGGTCTGACCTCCTGYTGCACTCCAAAACCTGATATTTACTGCATGCACTTCTGGACCCAGGYTTTGATCCCATTGTGACTTGTGAARGATTATTCTTAACTGAGAGAGAACAAAGAAAGCGTAAAGGGAACATATGTCTGGCCTTTCTTGGCAGATGCCAAGAAGACATATCACCCAGCAGCACACCTGAAGAAATGGCACTCATTCTCTCTGGTGAATTATTTAACAGCTGAGACCATCTGGTTCATTACAAAACTTTGATTTCACCAGCTTCATTAGCTGCTCCCTTCCCCTTGAAGGGACACTCAGGGTTATTCAGCAGGAAATCACTCTTGATTTTTTCCTGCTTGTTAACACAATGTGACGTTTAATTGCTGTCAGTGGAGACCTGGTTTAGTAGCACKGAAAGTTCAGAGCTGACCTACATTCAGAGACATATTTATACCTGCCCCCTCCACCGGCTTTCAGGGGCAGCATCTGCAGAGCAAGCTGGGCTCTTGAAGGGAACCACCTGGAGTAATGAACAGATCTTTTCCCTTAAATAAAAATCCCTGTTCAGGGTATAGTTTGACCTGCCTCGTGTAAAGAGTTTCACCTGGTTCCAAAGGAGAGCTTTGCAGAGACAGCTGGTGTTATGGCCCTTATCCCAACAGGCAGCACCTCACACAGGGAAAACAGGAGCCTGCTTTGCACTGCCACAAATGATGACCCAAATGTGAGCACCACTGCCATGTCCCTGCTCTTTTTGGTGCATTACCAACATAGAAGTTCGAGTCTAAGCTGTTTTCTGAAAGAAAGCGCAGTGGTACACACARTACAAAAAACTTCCACAAGCAATGAAAATCCTGCAGTGTCTCAGCTGGCATTTCCTCYCTCTATATTCAAAATTCCATTTCTGAATCAAACACAAACAATGTGAATCCACCCTTGCATCCACCTGCAGGTATCTAGCGTGGAGCCACCACTCAGGATGCCACTGCCCTTGCAGGAAGGCAGGGACAGCTGCCTGACTGCTGTCASACCTTTGAGGCAGCAGCAGCAACCACGCCCTGGGGGGACCCGTGTCACTCCACTGGTGTCACTCCACTGATGCCAGCCAARAGCAGCCAAGACACAGGGACTACGAGTTCACCAGACAACCCCATACTGACCTCTCAAACTGACTTGCCAGGCAGGACAGGCCCTGAAATGACTTCTTTATGAAAGGAAGAAAAATTGCTCCAAGAAACAGGAGAATCCAGGATCTAAATTCTGTGATGTTATTTCACTAGTTTAATATTGGAGAAAAAAATGACAAAAAGCAAACAAAACCCACTTGTCCTGCTGCCCCAAGGTACTCCCAAAGCATCAGCAGCAGGGCAGAGAAAGGAGCTTGCTGCTGGGAAACTCTTCTGACAAAACTCAACAAGGTTTTGGAAACTCTTGGGAATGGGCCTTCCTTCTTTTTTTTTCTGCAGATGTCTGGCCTAATAAATGATTTCAGAGTCTGAGCTCCCTTTTTGTCTCCAAGGAATATTGGAAGGGATTATGTTTTACAGAGTACACGAGGAGGAGCTGAAGGAACAAGACTATAGGGATACCAAAGCAAAATATGAACGACACCCCTGGGCAAAGGCCTGAGTGTGTGGGGAAATCAGCCTGGAGCAAGCAAAGGTGGGAGGCAAAATTGTCACAGCTCTTCTAGGACAAGGCTTAAATTATTTTTTTTAAATATCATTTCACAAGAGTTAAAACTCTGCCAAAAAAAGAAGAACATTACACAATTAAAGAACTTATCTGGGAAATAGAAGCAAGATACCAACAGTGGGGCAATTACTCTGGGAGAATGGGAAARATTTGCAGCTCCCAGAACTATGTCTGGGTAACTGTCAGTGGTCTTGAAGCTCCATAAAGTTCCTATTACTGAAATGACTCCTCTGAGGATTTGTTTTGCTGTCTTTCTTCCCCAAACCAGCAAAGCAGGCTCAGTTAGCCTTGACATCTTCCAAATTAACAACAAAAAACCCCAAGGCCTAATGAGAACCTCTTACTCTATTGACCAATGCAGCAACGTTCCGTTTGAGCAGTCCCCCAGTGGCATGAAGCAAAGCAGGGCTAAAGGAGACTCAGAAAGGCTCAGTGCTTTAGCATTTATCACATTTTAAATATTCTGTCATACAAGATAACAAACAGATYTGAGGACAAGCTTCCAGCGTGCCTGGTGAATTTACAGGTCCATGTCCGCTGAAAGTTATTGCAACTTGTTTCTGGAAGCTTTAAATTCTGCAAGCAGCTCCTGTAAACATAACCCTGCCACAAGAGGT